AGTCTTTTTTTGGATATACTTTTGCGGGTAATTCAGCTCACGGGGTTTTTTTGTTCCTTGCTATTTTTTGCTGTGTGCTGTACTGTTTGTTGGAAGCCTGATTCCTGGACATAGACATACGCACGTCATCTCTTGCTGTAGAGCCGTTTCCAAACACTGAGTGACCCCTTTTCCTTTGCTTTGCAGTCCAGAAGTGTGCCATCCTTTGGAACATCTTCGTCACTACAGCGAACCAATTCGTTCTGCTGGTGAAAGACCCGACTGGGGATGATTATTACGTCGTGTCATACTACCAAGGTTGGGCCAACTGCCATCAGTACTTAAAAAAAGAAAAGAAAAAAGAAAGAAAGAAAAAGAAAAAATATGCGATCTGATAGAGCAGGAACTCCTTTGCATATTAGGCCACACCCCCTAATGTAGCCAATCCTCCGAGAGCTTACAGAGCTCTTCTTACAGGAGCTACTGTAAGCTCTTGGAGGATTGGCTACATTAGGGGTGTGTCACTTAATATGCAAACGAGTACCTGCTACAAAAAGAGCCTGCCGGCGCTTTTCCAGACAAGGTTGGATCCCATGGACCAGTGTTCCCTCTAAGCTGAGTTAGTGTGAGCTAGCTCACCGGGGTTTTTTAACCTCCAGCTCATGCATTTTTGTCTCCGCTCAAGAAGGAGGGCTCCAGAGCAAACCAACTGATGCAGCAGCCAAACCACTCGCTCACAACTTTAATGCCAGGAGCTCACCAAGTAGAATTTTTGCTTTGAAGACTCCACTGCTTGGACCTATTCCACTGGATCCAACCCACGTGATCCAACCCTTCAAATATGTCCAAAAATGCAGAAGAATATATTGCACAATGAAACTATTGGTTAATACAAAATCAGTGAAAAATCGAATAACCATCGGGCAGTGGAACAGAACAGCCGAAGCAGACTTGCTAGTGGCTGGGTGGGTTCAGAACACAGCAAATAGGGATGGGCTCAAAGCAGGCAAATGTGGTTCAATTCGTGGCATCCCCCTTTGTGAAAAAACCAAGAGGGGGAGGATCACAGGTATCCATGAGGAAAACACAACAAACACTGTGACATGAGTTACTAGAACATTCCCGTCTCTGGTCCCAGCTCCTGCCAACCTAGCAGTTAGAAAGCAAGAAATTGCAAGTAGTTCAATAGGTACCACTTTGGTGGGAAGGCAACAGTGTTCCGTGCACCTCGGTGTCTAGTCATGCCGGCCACATGACCACAGAAAACATTTTCAGACAGCGCTGGCTCTTCGGCTTGGAAACGGAGATGAGCACCACATCCCTACAGTCGGATTCGACTGGCTTTCGAGCAAGGGAAACCTTTACCTTTACTGTGTTGTATAATGAATCAAACTTTACAAAATACAAGGAAAAGTTCACCATACTCTCAGAGATCATTTTGCCAGCCACATTTAAAGTTGAGGGCTTCTAGCCAGAAGAAAAGAGGACTGGTGCTACTACTAGAAATATTTTTACAGTGTTTTCATGGAGAGCATTTCAGCCAGCATAATATAGGAGGCTTGTGCACCTAGTTAAAGAGACAAGACTGGCTTGCTCCTAATAGTAACACTCAAAATGGAACCAGAAGATAAAGTGCAGAAAATAAAGAAGAAGTTAAGCATCGGCTTGCTCCTAACAGATATTGAACTGTATCAAGAGGCTGATACCTTGCTATACAATAGGATTACTCCTAAAGAAGATTGGGTTGAAATGAGTTTATATCCGGGTGCTCATTGAGTATAATGGACTTTCCTTGTAAACTGGGTATGATGGACTTTCCTTGTAGTTTTGTAAAGTTTTATTGAGAGTATGATGAACCTTTCCTTGTATTTTGTAAAATTTGATTCATTATACAACATAATATTTACTAAATGTTCTAGTCACTCATGTCACAGTGTTTGTTGTTTGTCATATATGCCCCTTTGTGAACCACAAGCAGTCATGAACGTTTAGGGGCTAAATGAACCGGAGAGATTTGTGACTCAGTTGAATACCCCCCTGGTGCTTTAGAGACACCAAACTCACCAGGATCTCCGGTTGATGCTCCTCTACCTGCCCTCCAAGTTGGGTGAGGATTGGATTCACAGGGTCTGAGTTATGCCCCCCCCCCGAAGAAGGTGCACCCAGGAAAGTGCTTTCTGGGGAAATGACTGCCTGTCATTTCCCTAGAAAACACTTTTCTGGGGGCACATTGTTTGAGAGGATGTAACTCAGACCCCGTAAATCCAATCCTCACCAAACTGGAGGGCAGGTAGAGGAGTCAGCCAGAGAACCCCTGTGAGTTTGGTGTCTCTAGCTTGCACAGGATCTGCTCTGGACAGGTGGTCATTTTGACAGGTGCAGGTTCAGGAGTGTATAGAACGGATTCTGGTCAAGCAAGAGACATCAAAGTCACAGGGGACTTCCTCTGGAGGCTCCTCTATATGCCCTTCAAGTTCTGCCCCCCATTGCTTTGAAGTTTTGTAAACATTTAGATTGAGTGGAGACTGCAAATGCATCTGTTCACAAACTAAGAACAGAGAACCACAGCTCTAGGAACAGTACAAGGGGAGAACAATAAAAGCTGTGTGTGTCCCCACTAAATAACACTGCCAGAGTCAATAATTACAAGATACATTTTGATCCATGTGCAAAAAGAGGTCCAAGAACAATAAAATTAACGAAGTTTTCTGGATTACAAAGTCGTTTCGTAGTCTTCATCCGAACAGGACCGTGTGTGTCTTTTAAAAGCGGCTGACTTCATTTTTTGCATGTTGCATAATTCTACAAACATTCAATCAATCAACAGTTTTCATACTATTAAAGTGCATCTATTTCTGAAGTTGGTCCATCAGCATCAGTGAGTAGAATTGAAGTAATGGGAGGCTTTGTTTTGTTATTTAGCGGACACACACAGTTTTTATTGTTCTCCCCTTGTTCTGTTCACAAACCACTACGAACAACTGGAAAGTTCGTGACGGTTCACCTTGCGAACCACGAACTGGCCAACATTCGTCAAGAACTTTAGTTCGTGAGCCACTTCTTGCCCATCCCTAGCAGCAAATCCAAACCACAGCTGAAGCTTGGAAGGGCAACACACCCAGATGTGGACAAACACGACCTAATCATGGAACAAGTATAAAGAAGACAGTTGTGCGAGTATGACCCACACTACAGTCTGAAACACCACAACACAATAAATACATTCCTACAAATCATAAGAAAATCCTAGTGCAAAGGTACATCATCAACATCGTCTCCGAATCATATAACAGTGGGTACAATCACAAAACGGCTGCTACAGGATGTGGAGTCAGTCACAGAATGATAGGGAGCAAGATTATCTATGAACGTCATAGTAACTCTTCAGCAATTTAGTCAGAAGTTCTGTTTAACTGGATGCCTTTCAATCCGCACAGCCAATCAGAAACCGTGCGGGGCAAAAGCCCCACCTTGCCCCGCCCACTTTCTAAAAGCACTTGGTGGGCAGCAGGAAAAGTGTTGGTGGCTGCCGTGGTGCCCACAGCTGCCATGTTGGGGACCCCCCCGAACTATGCATTAGCAACGTATTCCACATTTTAACTCGCGGATTTTGTTTCCTTGAATTGCAGCACAACAGAAATTTGAACTGATGTACCAGCTTCCTAAATTTGTTCCCAAGGGTAAGAGCCACTACGCGTTTCTGTCTAGTTAATTTCCCCCCTCCCCTTTCCTTCACGAAGCCCAAGGCCGCATATATCGGGGGTCCCCAACCTTTTCGAGCCCGCGGGCACATAAAAAACATTGGTTAGGAAGGAGGGATGGTGGAGGGAATGCCAAATGAGACAAAAAGTCTTCACCTGCCGCCTGAAGATGGCTACAGAAGGGGACGTATGACTCTCTCTGGGGCGA